GGACAAATTAGAGTGAAGTGATACTGAGCTAATAAGAGGCCTACTTCAAATTGGATGTGAAAAGTATTTTCCACAATATTAGGCACTCACAATTGATAAAACGGCTGTTGGGCTACTGGCCAACAAGAAAAACTAGGGCTTTGTTCAATTCTGGCTGTTTTAATGCTATTTAAAAATAAAGATCATAGTTTAAGTTTTCTCATGGTTTAATTTTTATTCATAACCCACTGAAGTGGATTTACCACAGGGTGATTATCAATGCTGTTCATTTCTCACCCATATTCAGAATCCTCATAGCATACCATTGGAAACAAAATTGTCTTATCTGCTTAGCAAATACAGGAAAGGGTATTCAGAGTTCCAGGAAGAAAAAGAGAAAATAGCTTTGGAGAAAGTAAAATAAAGACCTGGCAGAAGGAATCTAAGGATACCTCATCATGGCAAAGTGATCTAATGCAGCAGTCCCCAAGCCCCGGACCACCAACCAGTACCAGTCTGTGACCCGTTAGGAACTGGGCCACATAGCAGGAGGCAAACCACGGGCAAGTGAGTTACTGCCTGAGCTCTGCCTCCTGTCAGATCAGCTGTGGCATTAGATTGTCAAAGGAATATGAACTCTACTGTGAACTGCACATGCCAGGGATCTAGGCTGCCTAATGATCTGAGGTAGAACAGTTTCATCCCCAAACCATCTTTTCCCCTACAATCCCATGGAAAAAATTATCTTCCATGAAACCTGTCCCCAGTGCCAAAAAGGTTGAGGACTGATCATCTAGTGGACCGTCTGTCCCGGCCAAAGTTGGTAACGTGACTTTCCAAGATGAAGCTGTTGCAGAAGTTTGCAGCTTTGTGCGAGGTAGTTTCCAAGGCCTAGCAGGGGAATGGGGGACTCAGCATCGGTCCCTTCAGAATTAATTGTTGGGGGCTCACTACTCATTTCAAAACCTGCGGCATAGTCAACAGATTCTTGCATTACCACCGGGGCCTTCTTGAGAAAAGAAATCTATGTTGGAACCTGGGTAGCCACTTACACAGCCAGGTCCTAACCGCAGCAATCATGCACTGCTGCTACACAGCAACTCATGCTTTATTTCTCCCTCAGACTTATGATGAACTCAGGCAAGGTCAGCTCTAACCTCAGATGCTATCCTTAGCACAACCACTTCTTTCTCTTATTGCCACAGAAAGTGACCCCCATGGGTCTATACTTCTTTGTCATAAATATCTGGAGCCATCCCATACCCGTTGTTTCCTATGCTGAGGAAAAAGAAACATTCAAACAAATCAGCCTGCTGACTGAGATGCATGCCACCATCCATTTTGGCCAGTCATTAAGTGGAAAATTCTGTTGGTACTATGTGGAGGAACACAGGGCAGAAAGACATAAAATTGATTTGCTGAGTGGCTGAGGTGGCCCAGGCATCAAGATGGGTTTGGGGGACAGAAAAGAGCAAGATCTACATGATCCCCGCCCTCAGAGAACTCTAGAAAACAAGGTGATTCAAGGACTAAGGAACTGTGGTGAATGCTGTGGTAGAAGGGGGGTCATGGAAGTACATGAAAGGAAAAATCAACTAAATCTAAGGAATAAGGAAACCCTCCCAGAGAAAATGGCAATTAAGCAAAGATCTAAGGATGCAATGGAGTGGGAAAGCGATAGGCAGAGCACTAGAAAAGGAGAAGGGCATTTGCAAAGGGCTAGCAGCAAAAGGGAACACAATGCTTGAGGAAAATGTGGGAAAAGATCCAGTTTCTTTGGGTTATAATGTAAGGAGATGAGGGGGAAGGGAGGGAGAGACAGGGCTGGAATGCAGGGCTGGGCGGGACTGGGGGAGGTCTTGTAAAGGGTTAATGCAGGCCAGCTGTGAGGGTTTTGTGGCAATTCAAAAGGGAGCCACAAAGCCTGATGTAGGAGATCAGTTAGCAGCTTAAGGACAAAGATGAGAGAATGGCCTGGACTAGGAAGAGGCAACAGAGAAGAAAGAGACATGGAAGGACGAGAGACAGATTTAGGAAGTAGAACATCCAGGATTCCCTTCCTCCCCACAGGTAAATAACACCGGGGTTTCACTTATTCCACAGAGATCTAAGCAAAAAGGAAACTATTTTGGAGGAGGATTCAAATCACATGCAGTGGCAGTGTAGCACATGATACCTTCTGATATGTTTGAGAGGGATGGGCCGGGCACAGTGGCTCAAGCCTGTAATCCCAGCACTTTGGGAGGCCGAGGCGGGTGGATCACGAGGTCAAGAGATCGAGACCATCCTGGTCAACATGGTGAAACCCCGTCTCTACTAAAAAATACAAAAAATTAGCTGGGCATGGTGGCGCGTGCCTGTAATCTCAGCTACTTGTGAGGTTGATGCAGGAGAACTGCCTGAACCCAGGAGGTGGAGGTTGTGGTGAGCCGAGATGACGCCATTGCACTCCAGCCTGGGTAACAAGAGCGAAACTCCATCTCAAAAAAAAAAAAAAAAAAAAAAAAAAAAAGAGAGGGATGGCAAATTGATTCCTGCTTTCCATGGTCAATCACCACACAGAATGAAACAAGACAAATTTTAAATGATGCACAGGCCCGGTACAGTGGCTCACGCCTGTAATCCCAACACTTTGGGAGGCCAAGGTTGGTGGATGACTTGAGGTCAGGAGTTCAAGACCAGCCTTGGCAACAAGGCAAAATCCCATCTCTAGAAAAAATGCAAAAATTATCTGGGTGCGGTGGTGGGTACCTATAATCCCAGCTACTAGGGAGGCTGAGGCAGAAGAATCTCTTGCTTGAACCCAGGAAGCAGAGGTTATAATCCCAGTTACTAGGGAGGCTGAGTCAGGAGAATCACTGGCTTGAACCCAGGAAGTGGAGGTTGCAGTGAGCTGAAATTTCACCACCACACTCTAGCCTAGGCAGCAGAGCAAGATGCCACCTAAAAATTTTTTTTAATTAAAAAAATTAAAAATAATGTATATATAGCACTGTTACATGAATGATGTAACAGCATTATTCACAATAGCCAAAAGGTAAAAGCAATCTAAGTGTTCATGGATGGATGACTGGATAAACAAAATGTGGTATTTTTATGCAATGGAATATTATTCAACCTTAAAAAGGAAGGAAATTCTGACATATGCTACAATATGGATGAACCTGGAGGACATTACAATCAGTGAAATAAGCCAGTCACAAAAGGACACATACTGTCCAATTCCAGCTAGATGAGATACCCAGAGTAGTCAAAGTTATAGACAGAAAAAAGTAGAATGGTGATCACCAGGGTCTGGGGGGAGGGAAGAAAGAGGCGTTAGTGTTGAATAGGTACAGCGTCAGTTTGGAAAGCTGAAAAGAATCCCAGGAGTGGGCGGTGGTGAGGGTAACACAGCAACATGAATGTACATAATACCAGTGAGCTGTACACTTAAAGATGCTTACAGTGGTCAACTGTATGTTACATGTATGTTACCACAGGTTTATTATTTATTTTAAAATATTCTTTTAAAAAAGGTGGCCAAGCGAGCTGTCTCATACCTGTAATCCCAGCACTTTGGGAAGCCGAGGTGGGTGGATCACGAGGCCAGGAGATCGAGACAGGCCTGGCCAACATGATGAAACACCATCTCCACTAAAAATACAAAAATTTTCAGGGCGTGGTAGCGTGTGCCTGTAGTCCCAGCTACTCAGGAGGCTGAGGCAGGAGAATCACTTGAACCCAGGAGGCAGAAGTTGCAGTGAGCTGCGATTGTGTCACTGTACTCCAGCCTGGGTGACAGAGCTAGACTCTGTCTCAAAAAATAAATAAAATAAATAAATAAGGCACTCATTGTCATTCCTAGTGTTGTCCACTGTGGAATATTCAAAATTATTTCAAACCAACACTTAATTAACTTTGAATTTTAGAAATTAATTTTAAACGTTTATAATGGTAACACATTTTCATTATTAAAATATAGAAAATACAAAAAAGTGTTGTTAAAGGATAATTTTTAGAAGAAATGTAAAAATCGTGACTTTCACACAATAAAATAAGTATGTGCAAAAGATGTTATTTAACTCGTGATTGAATAATAAAAGCAGTATGATGTCAAAGCCAAAGCGGTTGGGCACTTGCCTGCAGTCCTCGCCACTCTGGAGGCTGAGGCAGGAAACTCGCTTGAGCCAGGAGTTTGCAACCAGTCTGGGCCACATAGCGAAACTCCCCCACCTTGTTTTAAATAAATAAATGAATTAATTAATTAATAATTAAAAAGGAAAAATAATGCAAAGAACAAAACGACAGACATATGCAGGCAAACAGGAATGCTAAAATGCATTTACAAATCAATGTCATACTGGTCAGTATCTATTGGGCAATAATCATTCCCCTGGGACAAACTCTTTGGCCTTGATGTGGACCAAAGTCATTTGCAATTCTACAAGCTTTCTACAATGTATAGAGTTGTAAAATAACCTACAGCGGAGAAAAGGCCACAGGACCCTTTAAATTAAATGAACCTGCAAGAAGTGCTAAGCAGGACACCCAGGAACACCCCTCCCTCTTTCTAGTCCCCTGGAAAGTCTTTGACAAAACTGTAAAAGGAAGGGAAAATCCTCGTGTAACCTAACCCTTCAGCCCAGAAATACACTGGTATGGATTCTTGAGTCTAATTTAATCCAGAGTGTGGAGCTTTTATTAAGGAAATTCATCAAGTGCAACGCCCTGGGACACGCTCCTGGACTGGGTGGGCTTCCACACACTCACCCAGCGCACCTCCAGCCCCGGGGAGCGCTCTGGGCTGCTCACTTCGCTTCGTGTGGTCCCAAGTTATAGAGCAAACCTGGGGGGCCACCGGGGACCCGCTAGGAGTGGAGGGCGAAACTACGCGCGTAAGGTCGACGGACAGGGACGGGAGAAAAACTCTAGGAGCCGAGATCCGCTGAGCAGCAGGGAAGCTGCGCAGCCACCACGTCGTAACAGCGCCGCCTCTTTTCCCTCCCAGCTCCACAGTCCGCCGGGCCCCGTGGGGCGGCGCCGAGAAGCCGGGGGCGGGGCGACCTTTGCTCCGGCCCGGAGCAGTCCAGGCCAGGTGTGGCCCAGCCGCCCTGCTGCAAGGTGGGGTGTCCCCGCCGCTCAGATACCCATCTCGCCTGCCGCACTGGAGGTGGCCTCGCCGCTTCCTGCGCGCACCTCGGATCCCTCTCTCCCCGGCCGGGTTTGGCCCCGGCGGCCGCCCCTGGTTGCCCGCGCCTGGACCCGCGGTTTCGGTCAGACCCGCCCGCGGGCTGGTTTCGATTAGGGCCAGTAGGAGGGCGGAGCGGCCGGGACGCTAGGAGGGAACTAGCCTGAGTTGGGACAGTCTTCGCGTAGAGACAAAGAGCGTCCCTAGAGCCATCAGGGCGCAGGAGCCCGAGCCGATTTCGGGTCCCCGGAGCCCGGGGCACGGCCGAGAGAAGGGGACAGCGGAGAAGGAAGGCGGCAGGTGCGCCGTCGGCGCGGCGGGCCGGGATGCGGACGCCGGTGGTGATGACGCTGGGCATGGTGCTCGCGCCCTGCGGACTGCTGCTCAACCTGACCGGCACGCTGGCGCCCGGCTGGCGGCTGGTGAAGGGCTTCCTGAACCAGCCGGTGGACGTGGTGCTGTACCAGGGCCTGTGGGACATGTGTCGGGAGCAGAGCAGCAGCGAGCGCGAGTGCGGCCAGCCGGACCAGTGGGGCTACTTCGCGGCCGAGCCCGTGCTGGTGGCGCGGCCACTCATGGTCACCTCGCTGGCCACCACGGTCCTGGGGCTGCTGCTGGCGTCGCTGGGCGTGCGCTGCTGGCAGGACACGCCCCACTTCGCGCTGGCCGGGGTCTCGGGCCTCGTGCTCTTCGTCGCCGGCCTCCTCAGCCTTATCCCGGTGTCCTGGTACAACCACTTCCTGGGGGACCGCGAGGTCCTGCCCGCCCCGGCCAGCCCGGTCACGGTGCAGGTCAGCTACAGCCTGGTGCTGTGCTACCTGGGCAGCTGCCTCCTGCTGCTGGGCGGCTTCTCGCTGGCGCTCAGCTTCGCGCCCTGGTGCGAGGAGCGGTGTCGCCGCTGCCGCAAGGCGCCTTCCGCCGGGCCTCGCCGCAGCAGCGTCAGCACCATCCAAGTGGAGTGGCCCGAGCCCGAGCTGGCACCCGCCATCAAGTACTACCGCGACGGTCGGCACCGGCCGCCGCCTGCCCAGCCTCGCAAGGCCAAGGTCGGCTTCCCCATGCCGCGGCCGCCGCCCAAGGCCTATACCAACCGGGTCGACGTCCTAGACGGGGAGGGGGCAGAAGCGTCCTCCTCGTGCAACACCGAGCCCTACGACAGCTCTCTGCCCTGCGACTCCGACCTCTAGACGCCTGGAGAGCCTGGGGATCGCGGGTGGCAAAGGACTCAACCCCGCACAGGCCCGCCTGGCTCCGACTTGGAACCCGGACACTTGTCCCTCGCTGGTGTGGACGGAAATCTTCCTTTCCTGGGACCATACAGGACCCCCTTCGACGATTAGTTCAGGCTGGGTTTGGTATTCTTCTTAAAGACTTTCGTTTTCCCCTCCAGAGGGAGCAGAGTCCTCTTAGGGAGTGATGGGCTTTTAGTATTTTTTTGCTGAAGAATATATGAAAAGGGTGTCATTTGCATCACGTGGACCAGGGACAATAACCAGAGTTGAAGTCAGCAATGCTCAGAAACAATCTAACATCTTGAAACTAACTCCTTGCCATGCAAACTCTCAGGAGGCCAATATATTTCTGGCCATGTTTGAATGAGCCTCTTAAACTTAGAACCATGCAAATACCAGCAGCCTAATAGATTGTATGGAATGATATAACCTGATTAACTCATAGCTACCCATCTTCATTGCATACATGGGATTTATATTTTTTCTTACTTGTTTTTGCTGTGAACTTTGAGGGCACACAAGAGTTTCTCTTCCAGAAGCAGAAGGAGAGCGAAGGTCCTAATGCTGTACTATTCCACCCTTTGGATGCCTCATCCAGGATGCAGAGGACTCTAGGTTTAACATTTTGTAAAAAAAATGGAGCCTGTTTATCACATTAAAGCATATATATATATATATCTTTTATTTATAAATAAAATTTTAAAACAACTGTTTCAGTGGATCCACAAAAGCTCTTTTGTCTTTAGTACAACCTTTGGGAGTTTACTCATTCATTACTAACAATTTCCTGGCTGCCCAGGCACTTTTGTCTGAAATCTAGCACTCAAATCTTTGCACCTCTTAGCATAAGGTTACTAGAAAAAGCCAACAGGCCCCACTTAAGTCCCTGATTGCTTTGTTTTCAGGTTCACGCTGTTTTCTTTGCAAAGCCAAGCCTATTGTTGAGAAACGAGAAGCACCAGTTTCCACTTGAGGTGAGACTGGAAATCTTTTCCTTTGTAGCAGTGGTGCTTAGAATCACAGGAAGGCAGGTATGTGTGTTCCATGAAGGGGACTGGGTCTCCAGCAGGGCTGCCTTCAATTCCAAGTGGTTGGTTTAAGGGTGCCTTTAACTGAACTGAAGCTCATCTTTTAAACCTACCCTTCAGAGATAGGAACATTCATTCAGTTCAGCAAGCACTAATAATAGAGCGCTATGATAGGACTGGCTGAATAGCACACACTGCCTGCTAGAGTGGAAGGGATGAGAGAGAGTCACTTCCCTTGCCATTTTGTGGTGGAATCACTTATTTCTTTCTGAAGCCAGACTTTAATGTGTAGGCTGTATCACTTTGGAATCTCTTTCAAACGCAGATTTTGATTCAGCAGATCTGGAGTGAGGCCCTGAAATGATTTCCTAACTAGCTCCCAGGAGATGCCAGTGCCGCCAGTTCATGGACCACACTTGGAATTGCAAGGCTTTCACTGGGACTGTCTCACTTGGATTTCAATCCCAACTGGTGGCTCATTTTCAGACCTTTGAGTACCTGCCACCTAGATGAGCCTGGGGACTTGCTCGAGGGTACAGAGCCAGAAAAGAGAAAGTGCAACAGGGCTCTTTTCACCTTTGAAGGCAGCAATTAAGGACCTGAGAAGTCAGGACCTAGCAGACAACATACACATACTGGGCTTCTGGAAAATGCTGAATCTAGGCTGTGTCATAATTCTATCTCAAGGGAAGCTTTGGTTAAAAAAAATAAAATAAAAAAATAAAAAATTAAAAAAAAAAAAAAAAAAACTGATGTTTTTGTGTGTTTTGCTTTTCTCCCCACCCCAATAATTCTCCGCTGCCTTATATGCAAAACACTTCCTGCCTGAGGATTAGGGTTAAGTTGCTGAGAGTCAAAACTACTTTTCCCCTATCAAGAGAAATAAAGCCAAAACTCCCCCTTGAAAAAGTACAAACTTCTAGGCCGAGCCTCATGGCTCACAGCTGTAATCCCAGCACTTTTTTTTTCCTTTTTCTTTTTGAGACAGAGTCTCGCTCTGTTGCCATGCTGAAGTACAGTGACTCTATCTCGGCTCACTGCAACTTCCACCTCCCAAATCCCAGCACTTTGGGAGGCCAAGGTGGGTGGATCACAAGGTCAGAAGTTCCAGGCCAGCTTGGCCAACATGGTGAAACCTTATCTCTATTAAAGATACAAAAAATTAGGTGGGCATTGTGGTGGGCACCTGTAATCCTAGCTACTCAGGAGGCTGAGGCAAAAGAATCACTTGAACTCAGCAGGCAGAGGTTGCAGTGAGCTGAGATCATGCCATTGCATTCCAGCCTGGATGATAGAGCAAGACTCTATCTCCAAAAAAAAAAAAACGCAAACCTCTTTTTGCTATAAAAATGTTCAAGACAGCCTGTAATCCCAGGGCTTTTGGAGGCCAAGTGGAAGGAATGCTTTGACACCAGGAGTTCAAGACCAGCCTGGGCCACAGAGCCACACCCCATGTCTACAAAAAGAATTTTAAAAATTAATAAGGCATAGTAGCAACATGCCTGTAGTCCTAGCTACTTAGGAGGCTGAGGCAGCAGGATCGCTTGAGCCCAGGAGTTCAAGGCAGTAGTGAACTATAAGCACACCACTGCATTCCAGCCTGGGCAACAGAGCAAGATTCTGTCTCTTAAAAAAAAAGTTCAGGACTACATGGAAAGAGACTCCTCTATCAGTCTGGAGTCCACGTTTGGCCTGGGGGTAATTCTTTGTGTGTAAGAACGTATCCTAAACTTGCCCTAAACTTAACCACTGATCAGCACTGCAACCGCACCACAGAGAACACACTCAAAGTACTGCTGTCTTGAATCAAGCCCTTCTGACCTCTGTCACCACCAGACTCATTTTTAATCCTCCCAATCCCCAGAGGAAGTAAGCGTCCCCATTTAATGGATGAAGTCTTTTCGCGATTACTCAAGTGATGCCAAGAGAACAGTGAGATCTGTGAAAGTAGGACAGAAACTGCGTTAACGCACCCCTTCTCTACCCATTTGCTAATCTGGCTCTCATCTAGACACACGCCCTCACTAAGGAGGGGTGAGGCTTTGAGCACACACCGGGTTATCTACTGTGGAGGCTGCAGAGGTGCTGTCAAGGTGCTTTGGCAACCATCCTCCCCTCCATTGTGTAGGTTGTTCACCCAGCATGTTTTCGGATGTCTGGCATTTTGCCAGCACATTGTGGAAAACAACATCATCCAGGCTGCATTCAGTGTGGAACTTAAATTCTCTCCAGTGATCCTGTACAAATAAAAATGGAAAAGATTAAGGCAGACTTTAATGTGTGTAGGCTGTATCACTCTGAAATCTCTTTCAAATGCAGATTCTGATTCAGTAGGTCTGGAGTGAGGCCCTGAAATGATTTCCTAACTAGCTCCCAAGAGATGCCAACGCTACCAGGGATGGAGAAAGAATGGTGGTTTTTGTTTCTGTTTTGCTTTGTTTTGTTTTTTGGAGACAGGGTCATTATGTCACCCAGGCCGAAGTGCAGTGACATGATCACGGCTCACTGCAGCCTCAGCTTCCCAGCCTCAGTGGATCCCCCAGGCTCAGCCTCCCAAGTAGTTGGGATCACAGGTGTGCATCACATCACCCAGCTTTTTTTTTTTATAACTATTTTCACCTGGGTTGGTCTCACACTCCTGAGCTCAAGTGGTCTTCCCACCTCAGCCTCCCAAAGTGTTGGAATTAGAGGTGAAAGCTATCACACCTGGCCAAAGGTGGTATTTTAGGAAAAGTGGTCAGGATGAAGGAGGTACTTGGGCAGAGAACTGAAAGAAGAAAGAGAGGAGTTTTTTAAACAAAAGGAAGAACTTCAAGTTTCCACTAAAGAAATCATGAAAACAGGTGAGCGTCTCGGTCTCAGTACCAGTTAGTTTTGCTTCTCCTTCATTCTAGAACTGGGTGGTAAGGCCAAGAAGCAGCTGGTGGTACAACGGGGTAAGCCTGAGTCAACCTTGTCATCTACTCTGTCAGGCCAACAGCTTCTTTCAGAGGTAATATCGTCTGAACAAATTCAACCTGTCTTCTAGAATATTCTGTAAGCAGGCAGGCAGGGTCTCCGGGGATTCTAGGAATTTAACCCACTTAAGCAATCAGCCTGTTTTGCAGCCTCCTGCCCTGCAGTCTGTTTTTTCCTAGACCCTGCATGGTCACCCACTTGGTTAAAAGCAGCTCCTGACAGACCCCAACAACTTATAGATGAACTAGGTGAATTTTCCTCATCGCCATGCTGTAGTCACCACCCCAGGGGGGACAGCAGCTTCATGAGCATCACAGGTGACCTATGTGCTGGCATGAGGACCCACTGCATTGGTGCCACTGGGACCTCTCCCCTGCATGTGACGCATCCCTTCCCCTCTCCATCACCCCTTAACACCCTCCTGTCACTTTCCCTCAGGGAGACACTGCTTCAGAGAATAACCCCAGTGCCCTACTTACTTGTGCAAGTAATAAAACTCCTGTAAATCATACCTGTGTTCTAAAGGGGCATGGTTTGTTATTCACCAGGCCAACAAACCCTGAATTTTTGGGATAACATTTCCAGAATCAAAAATAAGCACTTTGGTTTTTGTTGTTGTTGTTGTTGTTGTTGTTGTTTTTGAGACAAGTTCTCCCTCTGTCACCCAGGCTGCAGTGCAGCGGCATGTTCTTGGCTCACTGCAGCCTTAATCTCCCAGGTTCAAGCGATTCTCCCACCTCAGCCTCCCAAGTAGCTGGGACCACAGGCGTGTGCCACCACACCTAGCTAATTTTTTGCATTTTTTGTTGAGATGGGGTTTCACCATGTTGCCCAGGCTAATCTTGAACTCCTGAGCTCAGGAGATCCACCTGCCTCAACCTCCCAAAATGCTGGGATTACAGGCATGAGCCATAAGCAAAAAATAAGGAATTTCATGTGTAAATAGTTCTCCACCAAGCAGGACTGAACATGGGAAAATGAGGTTTCATTTGTTCAAATCAAAGAAAATGTAGACAGAGCTTAGCAGGGGGAGCAGTCCTGACAAGAGGACTTGATTCTTCAGTGGCATGTGGAGAGAACTGCTTAAGACTTGATTGAAGCATGAACCCATTTAACTCTTGTCTTACTGCTGGCCTGAGTTATACAGGGGCTCTGACAAGGTGAGCCAGCAGCCCCTCTTGTAAACCAACGTGACCAGGTTGAGAACCTGGGAGGGCAGGAGTTGCCCTTCTCAGGCAGAGAGAAAGTGACATGTAGCCTGAGGCCGATGACACTCTCTGCCCCCCTCCACCACCATGTTTACTATTCACAGCAGCTCCCAAAGAGCTGCCTGTCACCACAGGACTGAGGGAGGCTAGACAAGATCACTGCAGTTTTTCTAGCACTTCAATGATACCTGTATCCCAAGAGTATAAGCCTTGCCCTTGCTGGGCTTCCGTTTCCTCATCCATAAAGCTGGGAAGAATGAATCAGATGTTTTCAAAGGAACTCTCTAACTTTATTCTGGGGGTTAAGAATTAGAGGAGGCTGAGAGGAGAGAAATAAAATTTGAACAGTGGAGCCTGGGGAAGCTGACTGATCTATAACATAAATATATATATATATATATATTCCATGGTACATGTGCAGGATGTGCAGGTTTGTTACATAGGTAAACGTATGTCATGGTGGTTTGCTGCACAGACCAACCCATCACCTAGATATTAAGCCCAACATGCATTAG